GGCTGGGGAATTCTGGGAGTTGAAGTCCACTCATCTTAAAGTGGCCAAGTTTGGACAACACTGAATTAAACAATGTCATTTATTGAGGCCTCGGAAGCACACCTTCTCTGTAGAAGCACCTGTCATCCAATGAGATTCTCCCCAAGATATGGATTGCCCCCACTATGCTGTTGTTTAGAAGAGCCACAAAGACTTGGCCTTTGGCGAGGGGGAGCGAGACCCCTAGCTTCATTACACTTGCCATTTTTTATCTTCATCTTTTATGTTGTATTGATTTTATTGTAATTACTTTGATGTGAGCTGCTCAGAGTTGTTGAGAGTCACGCAGCATACAAGTTTAATAAATGGTGGTGGTGGTGGTGGTGATTATTATGGATACTTCATATTTTGTTTAATAGGGTAACTGTCAAGGGGCATAAAATAATTATGCATCAAAATATTCTGAAAACTTTTTCAAGTGTTCCTATACAACAATCTTCTCTACACTCGCTTCAGACTACAATTTCTACCACTATAGCTAATAGCCACATGCAATTATACTACAGTGTCTACCACTATAGCTAACTGCCTGTCAACTGAGTCCAACACATTTGGAGAATGCAGGTTAGACAAGGCTGACATACTGTATAAAGGACGCCTTTAAAAAGTATGACTAATATTTTCATCTTCTTTAGTTGTACCTCTCAGTTTATAATTGGAGGTTGACTGTGAATGCTTTTTTTTTTTTTTCATTTTAACCATCACCACAACATTGGCTCACCAACTAGCTTAACCAGGATAAAGAGTGCCAAAAAAGTGTAAGCTTTTTTGCTGGGTGGAGAAAAACCGCTGGCAACAGAATAAAATCACATTGGGTCTAGCTCGTTTCCAAAAACTCAGAGAAAAATAAAGGTTCCTTCCTTATTTAAATGATCTTTAAAATTAACTGCTAGATTAACATGCAGAGCAAGCCTTACTATGAAACAATATGAAGCAATTGCTTTAAACATTCTCTTCCACTTTTCTGCCTCTAACTTCCATTTTTATACAATAGTGTATTCTGAAAACTGAGCAAGGAACAGGTATAATTTTGATGTTCAGATCTGTATAGATCTAAGATCTACAATGCCTTCATTTGACTTGCCTTTATTCCTCACCTTCTCCATTGAACAGAGTTATATGTACTGTACTGCTACATCTATTGCACAGATAAAGAGCTGAAATGTTGTTATTTAATGTAAAGATAACAGTATAAAAGTGTTCCAAGCTGATCTCAACCCCTGAAGACCAAATGGACACATCCATATTGTTTTGACCTCAATACAGAAATTGTTTGCTATTGCTTTAATTTCCCAACGTAGTCTACAGAGCTGATTTTTTTTTTTTTTTTAGATTTCTTATCCCATCTTTATTATTTTTATAAATAACTCAAGGTGGTGAACACACTAATCCTCCTTCCTCCTTCTTTTTTTCCAACAACAATCCTGTGAGGTGAGCTGGGCTGAGAGAGAATGACTGGCCCAAAGTCACCGAGCCGGCTTTCATGCCTAAAGCAGGACTAGAACTCAGAGTTTCTTGGTTTCTAGCCTGGTACCTTAATCAGTAGCCCAAACTGGCTCTTAGTTTCCCAACTAAGTACTAACCAAATCTGTCCCTACTTAGCTTTTTCAAGATAGGATACGTGCTGCAATCTCTCTATAGATGCTTAATGATATCCACCCACCTCTAACAATAAAGTAAGCTACGTGTAGTGGGCTTACCAGATGCTGCTGGGGGATCTGAAGCATTGTAGCTTGACTCAGATGTTCTTTTTGTATTCTGGTCCTTTGTGCCCTTTCCATCAGATGAGTCACTTCTGTTCCCAATATTGTTGGCTGACCCATTTTGGTCCACAGAAGAAGATTCCAAACCACAGGTGCCCAGCAGAGAAGATCCATTTTCTTTTAAGGAACCTGCAGCATTGTCCAGTTTGTTAGGAGGTTGTCTACAAGATGAGCTAGCGAAGCTATGTGTTTCTTCAGACATTAGTAGGGAGATGCCTATATCTTCATTATCAACATCCCTCATCTTGCTACAAGTGAACTGATTACAAGAACTCTGCAGGTATTTGTGTGAGGAAGCATGAATAGGATCCATCCCACATGATGGGTCCAAGCAACAGCAGTTTACTAATTCCACCAGATTTTCCGTTCCTGTGAAGAGGTAATTCAAACTATCATTCTCTCCCACTTCTAGCGGTTCAGAGAAGGGTGACTCAGGTTTGCTTTCAGATTGGCTCACTAAAGGTAAATAGCATGGCCCATGGGATCCTTTGTCCATGTACTCATCTTCCATAGGAATCTGTTTAAAGTGGTCATCTTCAGACATGGTAGTTAGAAACAACACTGGGAAATCCTCTCTTGATCCATAAAGGATTTTATCAGGGCCATCTTTTTCACTCAGGAGGTGCTCATGTGGGTAATGTATGTCATCCGGAAAGCAGCATTTGTCAAGATCCAACAAATAAGTCTCTCCCAAAAGTTGAAGGCCAGGAGGATGTGCTACATTTGTGTTTACAAATGTATCACAAGAAGAATCCTGCAAGAAAAGAAAACACTTCAGGAAAAAAAAACTAAGTTTCAACCCAGAGTTCTTGCCTGAGGCATAAATGACCAGGCTCAAATAATCATAATTTGTACACATTATTGAAGACCTAGCTCTTTGGAGAAGTCTCCAGTGCTGAGAAAGGTGGAACAAAAAAGAAGAAAAGGGCAACCAGCAGCAAGATGGATAGACTCAGTTACAGTGGCGATGGGCGCACCATTGGAAGGACCAGATTAGAGATAATCATGGAGAAAATCTATCTATGTGGTCCCTACGAGTCGACATCAACTTCATGACACATGATCAATCAATCAATAATAGATAATGTAAATGGGTTCACTGTAATGGCAAAGAGTTTACCACTTATGTCCCTTATAAGACAGGGACATAAGACAAACTTGCTGAATCAAACCAAAATCCATCTAGTCCAGCATCCACTTTCCAAAGTGACCAACCAGAAGCCCTGGGGAAGCTTTAAGATCTGAAGGCCATAATATCTCTCTGGCTATTATTCTTAAGCAACTATATCAAACTGCTTCAGAACAGGGAAGAACCAACTAGTTGTCTTGATTCCTCCGTGAATCTGCCTAATTCTTTTAAAAAAAAAATCACCAAAACTGAAGTGCAAACATCTCTTTTACAGGGTGGGGCATCTGAATTTGGTCATAAACTGCTGCTATGGAGAGGCTTCTCTATTCACAAAACAGCTGCCATCATGGGCATATTTACTAGCCTAAACATTAGTCTGCTCTCTGCTACCCCTTCTAGCCTCCCAGCTTTTTGTCCCTTTCTGGTCATGTTATCACATTTCAAAACATAGCAAACAGCTTTTTAAAAATTTTCTAGTACTTCAGAAGATTTTTGGGATCCAGAGGCATTTTTAAATAGAAATGGTGCTGGGGCTTTGCAACATACCAGCTTTTCATTTGTTTTAATTAATTAATTATTAATTAAAATAAAGTTAGGAGGCCAGGAAAGGTGGAAATCCCAAAGAACCTCTCTATAGTCAAACTGGTGCACACCAGGTACCAGGTTACTTAATCCAGATCTAAATTAAACCCTTATTTCTATTGTTCTGAATTTGTTGCCAGTTAATTGTGCTTGATAACTGTGGGGCCTAGTATTTCGAAACTGATGAGATAGGGTTTACTTTCAGAAATCTCCTTAGCTATCCTTTCTCTAGATTAAAAAACCTGAATGACTAACCTTTTCAGTGATATGCAGTTACCTTGCAGAACTAGTACAATAATTACAAAGCAATGTATGTGAAGTGTTGAAAAGCAGTCAGGATATACAGAGATTCAGATACTATCAGTGTTAGCTATATCCGGAATGATCAACTTTTTCAGTAATTCTTAGAATTTTTACCAGGGTTAAAGCGTTCTGACATCTATTATCTGTTTTCCATAGTTATAGGGGTCTACCTGAGGGTTCTGAAAATGTATACAAACCAACATATTAACATGATGTAAAGCAATAATTAGAGCATGACTAAAAAGAGTGACTACATTTAAATAAGAACTAACTTAAACACTGTATCATTAGAGAAAAGCAAAATAATTGCTATGCAGAATGGATTATATGGAGCTTTAAATATGCCCAATTCTCTGCACGGGAAAGCTAATGAGAAATGCAAAGTAATTATACTGTTTTCAGTAGTAATAGTGATAATCTGTTATGGGAAAATCTAATGGATTTCAGCAAACTGCAGACAAATTACTCAAAACAATTTTTTAAAATTCCTATGACTTAAAGCCAAGGGAGTCTTTGTGGTTCTTTGTTTCTTATGCTCTCACCATTTCCTTTTGACCTTATGTGGTATGGCACCGACCAAACAATTTTACAAATCTACAACTTTATTTCACCACTCAAGAGTTCTCCAGAAAACAAGGATATCAGAAGATTGCTACTAGGAAAAAACATGAAACAGTATGGAAATCCATAAAGCCTTAGAATTCACCTTTTTCCCTTTTATTTGGTGGCATATTTCCTGAGCCCAGTATTGCAAATCTGCTGGAAGGAGATACAGAAATAGGAATCAGTTAGATTCTAGCGTTTTAGCAGAATATTAGGGAATCACAAATGCAACCATATATAATATGGTTAGCTGTATAAAAAATTTCTACAAAAACATTTAGATTATAATAAATATTCAATTTTAAATAATAGGATTGAGCAATTTATTCATAGTGAACCATCTTAGTAGATATATTACATATTATCATAATACACATATAACAACACTAAATCTTATCACAGAGTTAAGCACACTTAAACCATTAATTTCAATAGACTTGCACACTTTAAGAAAGATCAGTAAGCAAGCCAGATGACACACACACACAAAATAATAAAACCTGCATAATATTTTATTCTTAAATAATGTTGGTGTGAATTTATTTTTAAATCTGCTTTGCTACAAAAAGTTCATTTTTTGAAGAGTTTCTGCTAAAATGTGAATGGCAAAGTGATTCCCCCTGCCCCCCTTTATTCTTATAAATGGAAGATGTGTCTATCTCAACTATCCATCCATGACTAAAACAGAACGTTCCATATCACCTGGGTCTTTGTTCCATGTCATGTGCCATCAGTCTATGACTGACTTGCTAATGACCTAGCTGTATGTGGGTGATTGGTTGGGTAGTCTGTTGCAAGGAATATCACATGAATTACCAAAAGAACAATTATATATATAGTACTGGGAAGAGCTGAAAAGAAAAAAAAAATCAACTGAAGTGTTGTCATTAGCTGAGCTAAGGAAATGGGTTTCCATGGGTTTACTGGGAAATGTATTCTATGGATCCAGTAAAAATATTAAAATACATTACTAGATCAGCAAACTACTTGCTCTTTGTGTGGAAGAATGCATTTGTTTATACATATTGCTGAGGGGATGCCATATACAGATTTAATTATTAGACTAAAAAATCAGTATGTCCACTGTCTGCAAATAAAAATGGTAAAATATCTTTGTCTTGACCTAAAATTCTAGATGACATATACGCAGACATCAAATTCAGAAGCTATTATGTCTTGATTTGCTATAGGAGCTATTACTGTCCTCCAGTTCATTTAGAGGATTCTTCCCAGACAGCAGAAACCACTTAACCTTGACTGATATCCAATTCTGAAATTGAATTATTTCAAGTTGACCCTTAAGTCAGCACTCAATGGAGAAAAAAATTCAGATTTAAAACTATTTTGTCCAACTGTATTCAGCTGAATCAAACCATTTTGCTGAATCAAGTCTCAAAGACCTATTTTCAGCTTAACAAAATCTATTAATGCATGAGTGCTATGGAAACCAATGGCCCTGATCCAGCAACTTCTTATAAGGAGTCGTATCATTTCAGTGGAGGAAGCAGATTGGCGTGTACAAAAACATTCACTTGCAGGTGCCTTTCCTCCTTTGAAACAGATGAAGAAGTTTTTGTGCATGTCAGCGACCCTTCTACAGAGTCTGGCACAGAAGATGATGAAAATGTGAAGAGCAAAGAACTGAACAATGCTTCCATAATTGTACACTGCCATAAAAACCATTCCTTTCTATGTAACATAGAACTAATAAGGCACCTATGGGTGTAACACTTTTCATTTAATTTTCACCCAAGAGATAGCTTGAGAGAGGTATTTCATGTGTGAAAACTGTAAGAGGGATAGAGTTCTTAGCTGTAGATCAAGCTACAGCTTGATCTACAGCTTTATTGGCGGCCTTACGTGCCTTCCCCCCAATTTTTCATGGAACATAGAAATTATTAAATACATAGGCAGTAATCACAATCAAATCTATTTAATTTCAATTCTAATTTAAATAAGTCAAACTTAGATTTTGTCCTGGCTGCACCAGCTTCTTTGCTCTGGCCTCACTTTTTAAGCTGTAGCTGCCGAGATACCACTCAAGAGCCAAGGGCAGTCTTCAGCCTAGAAAATGTTGCATGCTCCTGCTTTAGTTCACAAGGATATATTTGTGAAAACCGTGATGGACTTGCAAAAATTTAGAATTTAAACAATACATAAGAAGAGAAACATAAAAAAATAATTTGGCTTTTATAAAAAGCAAATTAGGAAATTTAAATAAAAATGTCAGATAAATGTAGTTTTGTAATAATATAATAAATCTTTAGGTGTTACGTACCTGTCAGTAGTTTTCCCTTACTTCGATAATATATAGTAAGGATAATTATACCAGCCAAGGCAATGAGGAGGAATGGAACAATCAACACATAAAATAACTTCTTGTTTTCTGAAAAATGAAAAACTGACAATGAATTATAAAAGCTTAGATTCAGATAATATCATTTTGGATCTGATTATAACCTTTTTTTAAAAAGTCATTGCTTTATAATCAAAATTCAGTAGCATAGGGAAACATTGTAGCGGGTGAATCTGTTAAATTTCACTGTCTTTCATTAGTGAAGTAGAAATATCATAGGACAAACTAAAAGCTGGTTCAGGGCACATGCAATTTGCAATCTATGCTTGTACAATTTCTGTCCTGCAAGATGACACACATACTTTGCCCACATCTGAGATTAATTTTTGGCCCTGAATTGTCATGCTGGGAAAAGCAGACATAACATTAAAATATTTTGGAGGTATTATGCATGGCCCACCTCACTTTGGAGTGACTCTATACTATGGTCCTGTCCCAAACAACTGAGCTATAGTCACAGAAATGGTTCAAGTTCTTGATGATTGTTTGTCTAGGATCAAACATATCTGAGAGCATGAGGGGCAGCAGAACAAGAATGGTCCGTATCTCATGTGCAGATATGTTATCCTGGTGGTTTTCAATCAATTGTATGCTTACATAGCTGGGACTGTGAAGTAGCCTAGATGGGCCAAAGGTAAGACACTGAACTTTTACAGGTAGTCCTTGCTTGATGATGGCAATTGGGACGAGAATTTCCATCATTAAGCAACGTGGTCGTAAAGTGCAACATCACATGATTGCGCTGCTTAGTGACAACAGTTCCAGCATTTTCTGGTTGTCATCGTTAAGCAAATCCCATGCTATCATTAAGCACACTGTCATGGGGTCACCGAGGACTACCTGTAATTGCATCTTTAAAACGTATAAATGATAAAAACAAGAACAGAATGGATATTAACATATAAATGTATTTCTTCAAAAAAAACTGAAGTTTTTGTTTCTGTCACAGTGGGACCCAGATTTCCTGATCAGAGTTAGATGGCATTTAAGATATAAATGCTGAGAACCACTATATTATCTAATAAAGACGTGGCTTATTTCTGTCCAATTTCAATATCTTGGTTAAGTCTTTCCCTTTCTAGGCTACTTGTATTCTGGCTAAACTAGAGCTGGGCAGCCCATGGAGCCAGCCCCAATTTTGTTACCTCAGAGCACCTTGGATTATGTTGCCAAAAACTGGCAGCAAAAAACATTGATTTCTGACAGCAAGGTTTCTTTATTTTGCATCTTTAAATCTTTGCAAACCTGAAAAAGTTGGTGTTAAGGGACTGGAAAGAGAAATGTACTATGTGGTAAACATGCAAAATTGGGGTACCTATCTCGGCTGCCAGCAAAGTCAGAATGAGTTAGTTAGGTGCATCAGGCTGAAACCTGGGCAGCTATATGGACAAATATCCACCAACTCAACCTGTCCCCAGCAATAATATGTAGCTGTTCCAAGGACTTTCCTGTGATCAGCTTTACCCATTCCTCTCCATCTAGTTTATCCATTTTATTCCCCTTCTTCAACTTCCCTCAACCTTGCCAAGCACAGTCATTTATTTTTTTTTAGTCCACTGTTCATTGACATCCCGTGCCCAAACTATCCGAGTTTTGTTTGCTTAGTTTTCCAAGCTGGGTGTCTCCAGCACGTGTGCCAGGCAATCCTGCAGCTACCGAGGATTGTCCATGCTGGCCAGTTCTGAAGCACATTACAGGCAATCTTGTGCACTCAGAGAATCTTCCTGGCTGCAAAGTTCTATCATGCTGTACTCAGTCCTGCAATATCAAAGTTGCCCAGCCCAGAGCATCCTAGGCATATTCTGAAGGTTGTTCAGGCTGAGATGTGTATTTTAGGCAATCCCAAAGCCCTCCAGCCTGGAAGCACTTCAGCCTGCTCCCACAGTACTAGTGCGAAGTGGCTTCAGGCTACCCAAATTTCTTTACTGAGACAACTGGATGGCCTGTTTGCCTTAACAATGCAATCACCTCCTCTCAACAGCCCAAATCTCCATCACTTCATAAAGGCCCGACTGCCCTCTATTCCTTTATTTTGTCTCATCTTTATTTTGTCTAAGACCATTCTCATGTAATCATTTAAAGTGGCCCATTCAGGTCCACCAAAATTCACTTATTCTAAAAGTGCTCAATTTCATACACGTCATTTATGCTTTTACAATTTCAAATTGCCCTTGGTTCATGCTTCTCATGTTCCAGTTGCACATGTCCTTGAAAACAAGGAACTGCTTTGAATACTGACACCATCAGTGATTAGTTTTCCTTTGGCCTAGTCATGTCATCACCTCCAGTTCAAGATTCTTCCCCAATAACTGGAGGAGTGCTTTCCAGTCTCACATTCTCATCATCTGCCACATAAACCTCACTACATGTTTCAGCCTGGCTCATATAAATTTCTTGTCAAACTACCAAAGCAATTTGCCATTGTGGATTGTGGAGTTCCTACTTAATAGGTAGATTGGCTTTCCTTACACCTGCAGAGCCCTACCTGTCCTTAGTCCTGTTGTAGACTGCCATTAGCATCACCGTTCCCTTTTGGAACTTTATTTATTTGAATTTTTTAGCTGCCCAACTCCAATGGACTCTTATCAGCAAGGAAGCCCTATCAGGAGCTCCTGCTCCTGCCAGCATCACTCTTAGCATCACTGAAGCTACTGAGCAGTTGTACCATATTATGGAATGAAGTCAAAATAAAGGGTAAATTTAATTACAGAAATCCCAGAAGATCTTAAAATCATATATTACTGTTCAGTTGGTGCTTGTGTATTTACCATCTTCTGAATGTGTTTCCCCTTCTGTCTTACAAACTGCATCAGACCAATTATTCCCAGGAATCTTTTCTTCAGTTCCCAAAGCTGTGCAACTAAAGAAAAAAAATGGAAAGAAAACAATATGATAATAAAGTAACATATGTTTTGGAAAACATACTAATAGTGTAAAGAGGTAGTGAGGCAATGCTTAATGCAATGACATCCATATTGCATACTGTATTTCCCTCAGTAAATCTTGGTGTTTTTTAGATGTGATGGACTTCTGTCAGCCCTACAAGGTAGACCAGATCAGGAAACTGATTCCACAGGAAGTCCAGATCTATATTTAATTAAGATAGGCTATAATAACAGAATCTTGCAAGCCTGATTGTGCTTTACCTCCCCTCCCTTTTATATCCCAGTGAACCAGGGAGGATCCTGCCTGATCTCTTCTGAATACTATCTTGTTTCCCAGGACTTAAGGAATGTTTCAGCCCTCTTTGCTTATATGATAGTTCTTGCCTATTTTCCCCAAGGACATCTCCCTGACTCTCTACAAGTTCTCTTGATCTGGAGAGAAATGGGCTGTGGAAGGCTGACTTTGGTATTGTAAGAAAGGAGAAAAGAGAAACTGCAATTCCATGTCTAACATGTAATAAAGTTCAAAACCAAATTTGCAAATATTCATTCGTACACTGTTTGGCCTTGTCAGTCTCATATACTTTATGGGATTCTGAGAAATGGGATCAGTGAAACTTCAGTAAGGAGGCCTCTTAGTTATCTACAACAAGCCAATGGCTGCATTTGCATACATAGAGCTAACCCTATGCCAGGATTTTTAAAGAAAGTCTTGTTGAACAAAATATAATGGCATGTTCACACATTAACATTATACCATAACAGACTGGTTTACAAATAATGCTAAGTTGCATTATGGTCATCCCTAATCACTATTCAGTGATTTGAAGTTAAAAAAAGAATACTTCAATTTTTTTTAGGGTAGTTCTTACTCATATTACTTTAAATGGTCTTTTCATAATTAAATGATCAAATCAATTAGTTTTTCAGTTTATTCTATTAATTTTAACTAAAGAGGAGAAAACAATAGAAGAGAAATTCCCTCTTTCTTTTTGTCTCAGGGTCTATTTTTCATTCCCCTACTGCAGTGCTTCTCAACCCCAGCAACTTTAAGATGTGTGAGCTTTATCTCCCAGAATTCCCTAGCCAGCATGCTAGTTAGAGAATTGTGGGGGATGAAATCCGTACATCTTAAAGTTGCTGAGATTGAGGAATACCGTCCTACTGCAAGCCTCAGTGTTAGATAAAACAGAAGACTAGTGCTCAGAAAAAAAGCATACTCATCCATTATTACAAAATTAAAGCAATTTTAATTTACATATATTCATGTCACTAAATATGCATGATCAAGCAAATGAGGGTTTCTAGATTCTAATTTTCAAAGATTAATAACTAACAGCAAATTATTCCATTTTCTACAACCAACATCAGTGTTTCTAAATACAACACAGCAAAGACATCCTAAGATTTCCTTTGTGCCTTTGTTAGTGTACTGTTAGAATGCATAATGCTTACTTTGTCCAGGCTCTGCATTCATCAGTTGCAGAGGAGACATTAGAAAAATAACCAGTGGGACATGGTACGCACACTGTATTCTTATCTTGTTGTACTGTGAAAATATAACAAGCAAACACACTGAGCAGAGCAGAGTATCACTTCTCTGAAAAGCATCACTTGAAAACAATCTTCTGGTAACCAAAAATTTAGGATACATTTCTGTACATAGTGAAGTGTCACTATTTGGACAATTTTGCTTTTGGAACATTTTATCTAGAGGATAAAACAGAACAGTAGTCTTCAAATGCTTCAAGGCATTGGAAACAAGCAGACTGATTATCTTTGTATATAGGCATGCTCATATACATACATATATTCACCTACACTTCCATGGTACACATAATACCAAGAATGCGCTAGGTGTCCAACATGATCTTTAAATATTATTTCTACACACTATTCCTCCCATAATAAAACTGTAATGAAACAATCATACAAAATAATAAAAACAACAACATAAAACATGAAACTAAGATTAATTGAGGCATATCACTCAGGACTGAAATTTAGCCCAATTTCAATGATGTAATTTTAGGTATCTAATATTCAGCAATGCAGGAGAAAACTACATCTCTTCAAGAAGGGAGTTTCATTATCAATATACCTCCACCGAGAAGCCAATTTATCAGTGGTACATTCACCAGGGTTTCCCCTGTACCTCACAAAGCAAAGGTTAGGTCATACGAGGTTGGCCTCTTCATGTAATATTCTACATGTTACATTAAGCGTGTGATAAAGACGGAATGGGACAATCACCATGGAATGTGAAATGCTGGCTTGATACACATAAGTAATATTCCTCTTATTTTTAAAAAGGGGATGTGAAAACCTGATAACTTAAAAATAAATAACACAAATAAAACAGATATGTTAATTTAAATCTTACTGGGAAATTTCACTCCAGAGCCAGGGGGGCATTTTGTGTTTCGCCGACAGCAATCACAGTCTCTGTTCCAATGGTAGCCACCAATACAGGCACATTGTCTTTGGAATGTGCTGTTTCCTGGAGTCACTTCTATTAAAGCTTTTCCTTTAAATACAAAAAAGGAAAAGCAGATGGAAATTAAAGTTCAAGTCATGCATTCACAACTTCCTTTGGAATACCTACCCTGACATAAAGTAACTGAGCATTCTTCTCAAGTGATGCAATGTTACTGCTTGCATAATGAGCAGATTCCTGATTCATGATTGATTCTGAAAGCTGTCTGTTGCAGTTCAAACTGATACACAAGGAACAACAATTAGCTGTTACCTCTACGGATAAGCAATAATAAAAACTCAAGTTGTCAATCAATGGTATCACAAATGAAACTACAGGGAAACAAGTAAATATTTGGTAAGTGGTGAGAATGGAAGGGAATATTGTGGAGGTGCTGCAGAATGCAGCGTGTTCATGGTTTATTGCAGAAAAAAGGTCTAGAAGTGAGTGTCACAGTTGAGTATGATGTTGCTCAATGTTGTAGAAGGTTATACGGGTCACACATGAAATTTCTTAAGCAGGCTAAAGGGATGATTTAAACAGAGATATCCCTTTTCTAATACTGCACGATTTCCAACATGTTACCTATATGAACCTCTCTCTTGCTACCAAGTAACACCCACCTCTTGCTTGCCTTTCTAAGAAAGGTATCCTTACCTAACTAAAAAAAACAACAACAATAACAGATGGTTACAGTCCAATGTTTTATTTTGAAGCTGGGGTTGGTGATAAATACCCTTGAATTAAGGGTTGATGAAAAACATCCTAGAGAGCTAAAGGGTAAGGCAGAGAGCCAAGGGTATTCTTTCTTTCTGGTATAAATCTGTTTTGCTGTATGTTTCTCTTTCATGAAATATATGTGTCTGTCCTTGTGGCATGCTTGTGTATGTGTGTTTGTGTACTTCACTATCAGCCCAAATCAATCCACTTCAGGACCTCCTCTTCACTGAAGGTTATGTACTGTAATTTACCATGCTGGTCCAGTACAAGTTGACAGATACTTTTCAACTTTCCAGTCTAGGGTTAAGAGAATGTAACTGGCCCAAACTTATTCAGCTGGCTTCCATACCTAAGGGAGGACTAGAACCTGGAGCCAAAGATAGGATCTAAACTTTGGTGCTTGGACCTCATCTCTTCCACACAATATCTTGGCTAAATTATTTGTCTCTGGACTCATCAATTTGTCTTCTGGGATATTAGTGTCTTGGGACGGGCCACGCTTATGGCAAAATTCATGACATCTAAGCAGTCATTTTGTGAGAGAGCCCTGACATTCTAACATTCCAAAGCAGTTCAAAGAGAGTTAAGGACCACTGTCCTACTGCATTTCCCTCTTTTCCAACTGTTCCTATCCTGCCACCCCCACCAACCCAAAATACAAGTCCTCATCTGCTCTCCTAAAAGTCAGCTCCCTGGCAAATGAGAAGTAATATAACAATAAATGTATTTCCTTTACCTCTATCACATATTTTATGAAGAAAGCACTTTTCCTCTTCATTCCAGATGTCCATATACTCATTTGAGCCACAGGGTTTGCATACGGTCTCTGCAAAGGTAGTGCATTTTATGGCCATATACTTTCCTGAGAAGAATAACAGAAAAGACTTGGTTAAATATCTGACTCTTCAGACTTAGCAATATTGGCTCTCTCAGACCTACAACAATGGTCACTTTAGTGGGTCAGCACTTGGCAGAATGTAGCCAATTGTGACTGAGTAAGTGAGCTGAATAACCAAAACACATTATAATGATATCACTTTAGATGTTTATTATCTTATCAGAATCAAACACTTGTTTGATTAAATTAATTTAACAATAGAATTGGACAACCCAAAATGAAGTGTATAGTTGGCCTGGATATGAGGCACTAAACAATCATTGCCTTTGTAGAACATGAGATTTCAAGATGTTTTTAATGTATAATTGCCCTGCCTTATTCATGAAAACCCACAGAGTGCTCAGATATTATTGTCTTCCATTTGTAATGTTCCCACATTTTCCCATGATTTCTGTATTTCAAAAATTCATAGAACAGGAAGAGATAAGCACGCAATGGCTTTTGACATAATAACAGAATCTGTCTGGAAGCACCACAAGTCTTTCAGGTCCTTTCTTGGAGGCATCTCCTGATTGGTTTTAATGGCTGCAGCTATGATTCATTCTCTTTAATTAGCTTAAGTGATTCAGAAACACTGTCTGCTCTAAGCATGACCAACTAAGAGGAAATTGTCCATATTCTATGAATTGAGTTCAGAAAACTTCTTTCTAAACTGATTTACCCTTTGAGATTCAAGGTTTTCCCAACTGCTGCATAGAACCTATATTTCCAAATATCAGTGCAGAATACACTGCACTGATAAATCAACCAACGCAGAATACACAGTATGGGGTTATGATATAACTGGTAACATGCAATTTTAAGTATCTTCTATATCTACATTCTAATAATAAAAGCTATCTTTAAAATTGATTTTTTTGACCAGGAACACAAATCTCTGATCTTTATCTCAATAGTTAACATTCTATCATTTCCCTTTTCAAATCAGCCTGCCAGATTCAACTTGCAAATAATAAGATGATGCTGAGCTGAAATTACTATGCAGATTCTTCATTTTATGACGAAAGGTTCTCTGGATGAGGGTGCACAACTTGTGAACTCAGGACTCTGTTTAGCATTCCTCAAGTGGAGCCCTCCCCACACTTAAATTCCTTCAGAGTTGCCACTTTACTGTACTGGAATAGAAGGGATTACATACTTAGATAATACTCATACTAACTGCATTCAATTAATTTTAAATGTATATGTAATCTTTGCCATACCCACTCTTTCAATTCTGTGCTCCATAGCTTAGCATTTGACCCCAAAATGTTTGCACAGTTCTGCTCCTGAGAGACATAAAAAAGCGTTCTACATAATAAGAATGCAATTCAACCCCCCCAATGAAACATTAGATTTTTAAAAAAGGAATGAGATTATTCTTTTATTTAAAAATCCATTCTGACTTATGAATGAGAAGAATGTTTTTAGCTTATTACCTGGTTCACATTTGGTGCAGCATCGTCCAGAATATTCATAATGTTGCTCACTGCTACACGAGGGCCTGATTTGTAAGTACAACTGAAGGACAGAAGGGAACAGTAATAACACCTTAGTGAGGTTGCTGTTAGTTTAAGACATCTTTCAAGGATATCCAAGTTTTATTTCTGATTGTGTTTAAATTTGTATCACTGCAACTTGGTATTTGCTTTCATTAATTTGGTACTCTTTGGGTATGTTGTATAATGACTTCCACCATATCCCAACCAGGAAAATAGATATTATAAATCAAACTTTCAGAAGAGCATGAATTTAGACACAGCTGCATTACAGATAGTCCTCATTTAGCAACTGCCTTGGACAGTGAATGTTCGCAGTTACGACAGTGATGAAAAAGTAACTTTGCGACCAATGCCCACATTTATGACCTTCCCAGCATCTCTCTCAGCCACATGTTCACCATTACAGTCAGTATGTGTTGTCTTGCGCCTGACCATTTTTTTCTCCTCCCCCCCCAGGAAATGGAGAGATTGCCTAAACAAGTTATCTCTTGCTGAGCTTCTTTTCTCAGCAGCACAGCCCTTCCCTAAAAAGTCCTAACCACAAGTTAACCAGCTCAGCTCTGTGACCTTAATTAGTTGATTAGAACCCTCCAGCTGGCTTGTAGCTGCTGCCTGAAATTGAGTGTCACTAATCAGTTTCACACTAAAAGCTTTTGTTTGCCTCCTAAGTCACCAGCTGCCAGCGTACTAGGCAAACAGCCAGTGCTAGTGCATTCCTTTCCATGTGTATTCCCCATTGTGTGGCTGCTTACTCTCTTGTAATCCCTTCCTCTCCAATGAATGTAAATACAAACATCAATTATCTTCTTGCTAATTATCCCAATGCTGGGGTGAGCATTCCAAAGGGAGTGGAGAAAAAGGGCTATACAATTTGCCCTTTTACCCAGCTTCCTTGTGAGTCAAGTTCCAGAAACTTTCCCTGCCATTTAGGCTCACTGGCTGTTTGGGGTCATATCCTGATGCTGTAAAGCAAAGGAAAGCTGAAGTAAAAAATTGTAAGCACAGTTGTAGTCATGTGATTTTTCACTTAGCAACCACTTCACTTAACGACTGAGTTGTCAGTCCCAATTGCAGTTGCTAAACAAGGACCACCTGTATATTATTAATATATAACTGATGGCTTGTAACTACTTTCGGACATATTTTCTGTCTTTGTACTTAGGTCTACCATATCTGGGTGGCTAAGATCCAGGTAAACGCTAGATAGCAGCAAAGAGAAACAGTAAACTATAACTCTTTGCTGCCATTTACAGGTCATCCAAATTTTTTGGACAGCTGGATATATCTCTCTTTGGCTCCTATTGTTTCTGGGCTGCTACATTAGGTAGCTCGGTAAAGGGTGCTAATATTAAGGCAATCTGCTTGCATTAAGAAAAGAAAGGCAATATAACTGCATAGTGAATATGGATAGGTTAAACTAAGAGTCACAGGCATATGAAGAATGGGGACCAAAAGGGGCAAGTGAGAAGACATGCATCATAATGTTGTGTCACATCTAACTATAGCAGCCCAAGATAGATTGGTTAAAGACTTTAAAACCTAGAAGGGTTTTTAAAAAACAGCATTTTCCACAATATACATACATATTTGTTTTATCTTTGTACTGTCTTTAGTTAATTAGATTTTAATTAAACAACAAAAAGTTGTTTAATTAAAACAAAACAAAAACTTGAATTACCACTTTCTCAGACATATGGCATACTGATTCTATTACAGGCATCCATCTTTTGATCCAAACTATCTTCAAACTGGGGGAAAAATACACAAAAAGCTTTTCTGACAGTTCCTTTTTTAATGTTTGAAAATTGAGTAACTTCCAACATATACAATTCTTTTAAATGGACAAAATAACTATTTACACATGCTTCATGGAGTTTCATTTCAGCAGAAAATAATCCAAGTGAGATGGGGAAATTCCCAACTTTCAGAAGTTACAATCCACTCCCTTCTAACTGTGATAAATAATGAACTATACTTTTGTGATACCTTGTGGTAATTGTTTGGAACTGTTTGAAAGATTTACTCAAATGGTTACACCACCAATGTACCTGGACTTGGTTAATAAGTAATATACAAATTTAGTCAACAATTAAGGCACCTCCTTAGCAAAATTTTAACATGATAAAATTGATCTAACTTCACAGGAGCCTTTGATAGGCATTCTTTTACATAAACTCTTTATGCGAGGAAAGGGAGAGGTGCACTAACTGAGCCCCTCTGCAGTTTTTCATTACCTTACACATAGAGGATGCATGGGAGAACCTCCTCAATCTCAGGAGGCTGTCACAAAAGAAATATAACTCTGGATATCAATTCAAGGAAAAGAATTGAGGAGTTAGTGTACTCATCCCTGATCCTCTTTCTCATGCATGTCAATGCTCCATTACCGGAGGTTGTCCAGCAAAAGTTGGACAGCCATTTGCCTGGGATGCTGTAAAGATTTGGGGCATAGTGAAATGCGATTCTAGTCAGTGAACAGGAGACCTTATGTCACAGGTGTTTGTTACAAGCCATGATGACATCAAAATGACAACACATGGACAATAACAAATGATGAAATAATATAACCATGCCATGATATCATATTGCAACTATATAATTTCCCCAAGGGTTAGCTAGAGAAAGGAGTTTCTACTAAGAAAAGTAGACAAAGGACTGAGAGCAGTTGATATATTTTGTTATTTATACAGGTAGTCCCTGGGTTAAGAAAGCCTGGTTTAAGGACCACCCATAGTTAAGAACAGAGCCTATTGTAGCAAAATTTGAGTTAAATATACAATGATTTTAGTTACATTCACAATGGTTCAAGTTAATTACACAATACTACTTATACAGTATTATACAATAATACTATTCCAGCTTACATACAAATTTGACTTAAGGACAGACTTTGGGAACAGAACCTGTTCTTAAACTGGGGACTACCTGTAACTAAACCTAGGCCAATTTCTAAAGAACAAATGGAGGGGATCTGATTCAGATCCCTTTCTGATGCTGCCCATCACAACCACACCTACATAATCTCCTGCATGATATTTATTTGTGAGTAACTGAAATATACTATAAGTCCTGTTCAATTGGAATCAACTTTGTATGAGTAATCATAGCAATATTATAGCACCTTCTGTTAAGTCACCTAATATGTTCTGGCTTTGTTGACATCACTCTAACACATAAAATGGCTATTTGGTTTTGGCATAGCTTAGCCATTGTGATTTATTCAATAATGTTGACAATTAGGGACAGGTAGAACTTTGAAAGACTAGGAAACTGAGCTTCAGCCTCCTCATTCCAATGTGTAAGGACATTCTCAGAGTTGGGGAAGGAAAAATTGAGTTTTCAAACACGGCAAACAAGGGCCAGATGGACATGTCAGCCTTAAGCAATGCATACTTTAGGGATTCTGTGAAAAGGAGAATCAAAGAGCTCACAAAGATTTTCCCTTGATGTACTCACTAATAAATGAGGGCTAGACTATATTTATGTAGCTTCCAAGATGCTATAACCTAAGCCACTTTTCCTAACATTAAATCTAATTAATCAGGCTCAGCATGAAGCGTTAATCTAGTTTCCTTGGTTGTGTGTTCCTTGTTAGATGCTTGACACCATGTTAAGACTTCTAGCTTGTCCCAAAGAGCATGCTACTGCAAGCCATGTTATTATCCAGACCATGAATGCTTCTTAGACTAAAAATATAAGATACATACCACTGTAAATCATCATTATGCCAGTGCAAGAGGAGGTGCTTAATATTAGGTTTCTTATGGGAGCTACAACAGAGTGGTATCAATGTAAATTGCAAACCTACATTCACCTACCCAGGATGATGGCCCACTAAATACAACAGGATTACTTCTGAGAAGAAATGGTAGAATCACATTGTTAGATGTTTACCTTTGCCCTTAACTAAGGGGAAGGAATAACTGAAATACTAGGAAAACAGAAAAGTGAATATGAATGTTTATCTTAGTCATAAAAGCTAATAATGTTACCATCTTCTCCAGAAGGTGACCAGATGGTCTGGTGTATCATAAATGTAGAAGTAAGAAGCAAAAACAAGTAAAAGCACAAGCAACAAATCATGAATGTAGTAAAGACACTTTCCTACTACTTAATTGTATGAGAAGAATGCCTTGCAAAGTCCAACTAGTTTAATGCTATGCTTTCATCACCATCTGCTAGCTACTACTGAAAACTCACAAAAGAAAGTATCTCTAATTTTTAGCCCAACTCTTCAGAACATGGAGGAACTATAGTTGATGTAGGATTTTATAGTTTCTCCTCTGTGCCTTTCCCTAATAAATGACAGAATGATTTTATGGAAATCAGTACTTTCTATCTAACTGACTATGCTAGGAAGAAACTACTGTACAAACCCACAGCAATGGGATCACATGATGGACAAAACTATAATATGGTTTGTTGTCTTTGTCATTTATTTGTTCATTTGTAAATAATAGCTTATGTCTTAGAATGAACCTGACCCAACTGACACCTTAACTATGTGAGGAACATGGAATTACAGTGGAAAGCCAAGCAGCTCTAAGGGTAACAATGGAGATAATTTAATACAAAAATGTTATTGTCTGGACTCTTGTTAATAATGTTCAAGCTCACCTATTGAAATCACACTGATTTTTAAAAAAAATAATAACTTCAGTGCAACAATTCAGTAGCAAAAAGGGCTAAGAGAGCGTATGCTGATATGGATATTGGATCCAACAGAAATCTATTAAAGTTATATCAGTGGGACAATGGATGAGACGCATTACAAAGTGGCGGTACACCACGTTGAGCCTTATTAATTTGGGTATCTCTGTTGATCTGTCATGTAGTGAATAGCACTGTTAATGTTAATTAATTAAACTTATATGCTGCCTATCTTATACACAATAATCCTAGGGGAATTATTACAACAAAATAAATAAAATAGCAATAAAACAATCATATTGCCAGTACAAAGGAGCATCACACTTCATACCTTGTTGCCATAACATCCATCACTCTACATATGCTGGC